ATTACAGGACCCTTGTGCCCCCAAGCTCCCCATGCAAGCAGCTGACTGGAAGCTTTCTTCTTCACTGCCTTCCCAGTACCCAGCGTATATCCGCCCCCAAGATAAGGACATTGTTTGTTTGGTAGATTTGACTTCGGAACTGTGTGAATATTTTATGTAATTATTAAACCCATTTGAAAAAGTAAGTCCTAAAATTTGATAGGAAACGGAAACAAACGAACCTGATTATATGTGGAGTCACTAGCCTAACCACACAGAGAGGAACTATCTTAAGTGACTTTATTTACCCATATTTTTACTGTTTTCCTTTTTCTTTCTTCCTTCCTGATGTTTCAAGATTTTTTTAAGTCACTTTCTTTCTCTTGCAAGAACTTCCTATACCCAGTCCTTCAGGGTAGATCTGCTGTGACAGATTCTCTTTGTTTCCCTTCATTTGAGAATGTCTGGCTTTTCCCTTCATTCCCAAAGGAAATTGTCTCTGGATATAGAATTTTGTGTTGCTGGTTCTTTTAAGCATGTGAAAAATATTGTGCCACTTCCTTCTGGCCTCTGTGGTTCCTGATGAGACATCAGTTGTCGTTCAAATTGTTTTTCCCCTGTACCAGCACAATAAATGAATGAGTGAATGAGAGAATGAATCCCTGCTCCACAGCCTAACAGTTCTATGACATCGGGCAAGTTGCATTCCTAAGCCTCAGTTTCTCTGTTTAGAAAATGGAAATCTAATTGTACCTTCCTTTCGGAATTGGCATGAGAATGAAGCAAGATGATGTAGGAAGTACCTGATACGGGGCTTGGTGCACAAAGCACTCAGTAGTCTCAGCTGAGTGAATGCACGAATGCATGCATGTGCACGTGAACCAATCAGTGGCCCCAGTGCCTTTGTGCAGGGAGTCACATGCTGCCATGGAAAGCAGTGAGCTGGGAAGCGGGAGAGGGTCCGAGTCCTTCTCTGCTGCTGAGTCTCTGGCACAGCATCAGCATCGTTTGCCTTCCCTCTTTGGGCCTCAGTCTCCCATTTGGACAATAAAGGATTTGGCATCCACTGTTGGCTTTCAATCCTTGCTGTGCATTAGAGTCTCCCATAGAGTTTTTTTCTAAATACTGATGCCTCGGCCTCACCCCAGACTAACTCAAATCAGACTATCTGTGGGTGGGAGCCCTCACACTGTTCTGTTTTGTTGGGGTTTTTTTGATTTTTTTTAATTCCTTGGGAGATTGTCATGCAGAGCAAGGGTTGGGATCCTTTAGTCCAGTTGGATCCATCATCTTGAACATTCATGGATGTGTTTCTGGCACCTTTATTGTCCTCTTATCGTCTCCTACCCAATCCCCAAGAAGAAAGTCCCTGGAGTCCATTGTGCTCATTCCAGCCACTATGTAAAAAGTATCCCTGGACTCTAGAAGCTTTTTGTTTGATATGGGTCACAGTTCACTTGAGTAGCCATCTGTTTCCTACCCAGCAGCTCGTGTGAATGACGTTCAGAAATGTGCATGCAGTTGTGTAAGCCCCTGCTTTAAAAATCCGACAGCAGCCCATGCACCTACATCAAATACAAGCCAGTTTCCTGCAGCTTCGGGCCCCAACTTTCTTATCTGACTTTGTCTTATAGAAGGAGAAGTATATCAATTCAGTCCAGTCCCTACCAAAATCCCATCTAGCTTTCAGTAGAAATTGACGAGCTTATTCTAAAATTTATATGGAAATGCAAAGTCACTAGAAGCCAAAACAATCTTGAAAGAGAACAACGCTAGAGAACTTGTACTACCAGATTTGAAAACTTACTATAAAGCTATAGTAACCAAGTCAGGATGGAATGTGTATGGATAGATAAATCAGTGAAACAGAATAGAGAATCCGGAAACAAACCCTAACAGTTATGGTCAGTTAATTTTTTAAAAGGTGCCAAGTAATTCAACAGGGGAAAGGATAGACTTTTATAGAGTGCAGGAACGACTGTATGTACGTATGTGAAAAAATTAATTTAGGCCCTCACCTTACACCATACACAAAAATTAACTTAAATGGGATTATAGACCTAAATGTAAGAGCAAATACCACAAAATTTTTAGAAGAAAACATAGGAGAGAATCTTTGTGACTTTGGGTTAGGCAACAAAAGCAAGATCCATAAAAGAAAAAATTGAGAACTTAAAATCTTTTGCTTTTCAAAAGACGCCATTAATGGGCCGGCCTGGTGGCGCACTCGGTAGAGCGTGGCACTTGGGAGCGAGGCGGCGCTCCCGCCGAGGGTTCCAATCCCATATACAGACCGGTCCGCTTGCTGGTTGAGCGTGGTGCGGGCGTGACACCGAGGGTTGTGATCCCGTTGCCGGTCACGAAAAAAGACAAAAAGGAAAAAAAAAAAAAAGATGCCATTAATAAAATAAAAAGACAAGCTGCAGACTGGGAGATAATATTCATGAATCATGTATCTGATAAAGGACCTGTATCCAGAATATATGAAGAACTCTTATAACTCCATAATAAGAAAACAAACCTAACTTTTTTTTAAATGGGCAAAAGGTTTGAATAGATACTCCACCAAAGAAGGATTATGAGTGGCTAATAAGCCCATGAAAAATGCCCAACATTGTTAGTCATTAGAAATATGCTGCTTAAAACTGCAGTGGGGTTCCACTCCATACCTACTTGAATGGCTACAATCAGAAAGACTGAAAATACCAGGTGCTGGAGGAACTGGAGCTGTCATGCATTGCTAATATGAATGTAAACTGGCACAGCCATTTCGGAAAACAGTTTCTTAAAACTGTTTCTTAAAAAGAACTTTAAACATACGCATGACTCCACAATTCTCCTCCTAGGGATCTCCCCAAAAGAAATGAGCACATAATCCACACAAGGACTTGTACACATATGCTTATAGTTGCATTATCCAAAAAATTTGCATATAGCCAAAAATTGGAGGTTATACATCCATACCGTGGAATACTGTTCGGCAATAAAAAGGAATGAACTACTGATACACCCTCCAACATGGATGACCTCTAAAGCATTATGCTAAGTGAAAGAGGCCAGACACCAGCAAGTACATATTGTGTGGTCCCATTTATGTGAAATTTCTGGAAAAATTTCTATAGAATCAACAACAGACCAGCAGCTGCCTGAGGCTGGGGGTTGGAGTGGAGATTGACTGCAAACGGGTACGAGGGAACTTTGGGGGCTGTAGGAATGTTCTAAAACAGGATCATGGTGATACACGATTATATTAAATTACTTTAAAAAGCATTGAACTGACACAATGGAGGAATTTTATAGTATATGAATTGTACTCCATAAACAGTTTAAAATGAAGCAGCAGCATGTAGTTGTATTGAGAACACGGACTCCAGCCAGACTCCCTGGGTTCCAATCCCAGCTGGTATCACTTACGATCGATCGCCGTGGCCACGAACACATTACTCAGCTTCCCTATGCTTCGCTTTCCTCATGAAGAGCTCAGGATGGTGCCTGACACACACAAGTTCACTGTAGTTGTTGCTGGAGCCACCCCCTTCTCTCTAGGCTCCCACCCTAGTGGCCCTTTTTCTGTTGCTCCAGCCCACCAAGCTAACCCCACCCTAGGGTTTTTGCATTCAGTGTGATGAATACTCTTCCCCCTGGGATATTTCCATCACTGGCCTCTTCTTGTCATTCATGTCTCAGCTCAAACGTCATCTCAGAGAGGCCTTCCCTGACCACTCTGTCTTTAATGACACCCCACTTGCTCACTCATTTACTTACTCACTAAACAGCATTTTCAAATAGTACTCACTAGTAGTAATAGTAGTATTTTTATTCCCAACTGAAGCTCAAAGAAGTACAGTCATCTTATGCATTTATTTAAAACACCATTATTACTACCTCACACCTATTAGGATGGCTCCTGTAAAAATAAAAAAATAATAAATAAGCATTGATGAGGATTTGGAGAAATTGAAACCGTTGTGCATTGTTGGTGGGAATGTAAAATGGTGCACCCTATGGAAAACAGTATGGAGGTTCCTCAAAAGCATTCAGAAATAGAACTGCCATATGACCCAGCAATTGCACTTCTGGGTATATACCCAAAAGAATTGAAAGCAGGATTTCTAAGAGATATTTGTACACCCATGTTCACAGCAGCATTGTTCACAGTAGCTAACAGGTAGAAATGACCCAGATATCCATCAACTGATGGATGGATAAATAAAGTGTGGTATATCTATACAATGAAATATTATTCACCCTTAAAAGGAAGGAAATTCTGGCATGTGTCAGATCGTGCGAAAGGAGCCAGATTGTGCAAACAATCTGATGCATGAACCTTGGAGGTATTGCACTAGGCAAAACAAGCCAGACACAAAAGGATGAATACAGTGTGATTCCACTTATACGAGGTTCCTAGAGTAGTCAAATCCGTAGAGTCAGGAAGTAGAACACAGTTACCAGAGCAGGGGGAATAGGGAGTTGTTTGACGGGTACAGAAGGATGAATACAGTGTGATTCCACTTATACGAGGTTCCTAGAGTAGTCAAATCCGTAGAGTCACGAAGTAGAACGCAGTTACCAGAGCAGGGGGAATAGGGAGTTGTTTGACAGGTACAGAGTTCTAACTTTACAACTTTAAAAAAAGGTCTGGAGATGGGTGGTGGTGATGGTTGCATGACAGTGTGAATATACTTAATGTCACTGAATGGGTTAAGATGGTAAACTTTATGCTGTTTATATTTTACCAAAATATTTTTAAATAAATAATTTTGTAAAACCTAATTATCAAGGGCCAGAATCTGTGTTGTGTGCACTATCTCATTATCCTCACTATAATCCTTTGAGAAAGATGTTATTTATTTTCCTCGTCTGTTGAGGAAACTGAGGTTCAGAGAGATTTGGTAGGTCACAGATTCTACCCCAGATGTCAGACTTCAAAGAAACGACGTTGCCGCTGCGTCTGTTTCCTCCACATCCCTCTCTGGTTATAAGACACCTAACCTGTTGTACCCTGTTCCTCCTTCCCACAGGCACGGCAGGGATCTATCAAGGAGCAAATGGACTGACCAATGCAGCTGGATTCGGGAGTGTGCACCAGGTAGACATAGCTCCCCATCAGTTCTTTTCTCGGTTCTTTCCTTAAATATTCCCCTTAAATCGGGGATATTTATCCACACAATCCCCAGCAGAAACTCTGCCTCTTATTCCCTGGGTTTGGAGACTACAGGGGTTAGCTTGTGCAAAAGGCCACTGGAAAAATGGCAGAATTGGGATTATTAGAAGATTCCCAAAATGTAATGATATATGTTCAGTCTTGACCTGCGCCCAAGGCTGCCATTGACTGTTGGATCTGGAATATATGGACGTAAATGTATGTGTGCTTTCACCAGACCTAGAGCTTCTCAGGGAGGACAGTGTACCTTGTTCACCTCTGCATCCCCAGTGTCCTGTGCCCAGCACACAATGGGGGCTTTCTAAATGCTCATTAAATTGAACTAAGTCAACCCTATAAAGGTGAATGCTGGCTAATATTTTGATTCTCCTGGTTTTACTTTGAGAGTTAATTAGGAATTAACCTGCTAAAGGTGTACAGGAACTTTCCTGTAAGTCTAAAATTATTTTGAAACAAAAGATTGACATTCTTCCAGGATAGTATTAAAACGAAACAACCCCAGGGTAGATGGGCTTGAGGAATATTTAACATATTTAAATATGAGGAATGCACTATTTCTTCTTCAGTAAGCTAAAGAAACTAAATGATTTAAAACTTGGAAAATATGGGCTCCCGCCCGAGGGTTTGGATCCCACATACAGACCGGTTCCCGCTCACTGGCTGAGCGGGGCGCGGGAGCGACGCCGAGGGTTGCGATCCCATTGCCGGTCCCCGGTC